AATCTTTTTACCTTTAATTGATTGAAGATGATGGTATTTAAAACTGTTTTTGAGACTAATTTTGATCTAAAGGGGAAAAAAGGGCACGTGTTTCCTCTGAGCACCACTTTTTCGTTGTTCTAATGGGCTCTTCACTGTCATTTTGTCTGAATGCAGTTTTTTATTTGTGCCATTCCAGACATGGTCCTACCACAAGCATCTTTAAACCAGACACTAATAGCAGAGTTCACAGTCATTACTGCCAGGGCTCCAACACAAATATTGCATTTGTGTTTGCAAAAGCTACACATCAGATGTTAATTAAGTGCATTTGGGGTTTTTTTTTCTGCTTAAACAATCTGGCATAAAGAGTTTACATCTATATCAGTTCACCATAAGGTCTCTACAATATCTGAATCACCAGCCGTACAGTATATGATAAATACAGTGTTTCCACACAAGAAAATAACAGAATTGTCAGGAAAACATCAGGCCTGTTATATTTCCCTGTGAAATAATAGCAACGGAATCTCAGTTTCTTTTTCTTTTTGATAAAAAAAAGTATTTAACTAGGAGTAAACACCAATATTTAGAATGATAAATTTTCATTAAAGAACAGAACACATGGAAAGTGAAATCATACCAAAGGTTTTTTTCCTTGTTTTTAGCTTGCTTCAGGGCGTTGTGACAGTTGCGTTGGAATAAAATTGGGATTTGAGCTCTGCAGTGAGGAGGTTCTGCTGCCGCCAGAGCAGCGAGTGCCAATCTGCGGAGGCAGGAGAGGAGCGGAACCGCAAACTGAGAAACAAACTTTCACATCAGGTTTCTAATTTTAGAGCAAAAAATAGAATTACTTTAATTATATGACATTTCACTGAAATACGATATGCTGGGATTAATTATCTTCCTTATTTAAAAATTCTTACTAAGTTTAAATTAGCATAAAGAGTGAAATTGAGCATTTGAATAAGGTCAATGGAACTGCTGGATTTAAAAGCGGAATTTGATTCATTAGAATTAGCTCACCATGGTGGTGTTGGACTTGGAAAAGATTAAATGGAGGAAGTGGGGAAAGCACTCATTTGGGCAGAAAGTAGTTTTCTTTTCTTCCCTGCCCCCGCCCCCTTCCAAGGGAGAAATGGGTCATGGCCTCCTAACCCCACAGAAAGGAAACGACCCCCTGATTAGGTCAGAAACTTCTCAGAATTATTGATTGCCTCTGTTCATTCACCACTTACGTAGGATAGAGCAATAAAACAAATTAAATTATTGTGTAATTAAAGTTTAATAGAAGATTTAAAATAACACATAGCAATGGTATACATGAAAAATGATCATTCTATGTTAAGTGATTACCTCTTATTTTATTTAAAAGAGGATATAAAAGTTACTTTTGATGTTTAATTTTATTTTTCTAAGAAATAATTAACTTTTAAGTATGCTTTTGAAGGCATTTTAAAATAGGGTCTTTTAAAAAATTTAGTGAATCAGTGTTGGGACAAGTGTATTCTTTATCAAACTCTTGAGAAATCAAGGGAATGAATTTATCTTAGGCAATGAATTCATCTATTAACAAGAATGATCACCTTTGGAAATCTACTGAAAAGGGACAATTATTAGGTATATGGCTGTAAAAGGTGCCTTGGAATTTGCTGGGTGTAGGATTCGGGAAACGTCCTGTGGCTGTAGGGATGGAATGGCCGTTGCCACCATAGCATGGGGAGGAAGAGCCCTGGGTCCATATGAAGGAACTTCCATTGAAAGTGACTTGCTCCCTCAAGCTGATCAGTTGCATGTTAATATCTGAATGTTGGTTGGGCATATCAAAATTTTGAAATAGCAAAGCACAATAGGCCCAATATGTATTTTGAATAGTTATACTTACTATAACAGAGTATATGCATACTCTTCAACAAAACATAAGATTGTTGGGGTGATGATGAAGAGGAGGCTACTTCTTGAGTCAGAATAGGGAATGTATATCAGATTTGAGGAAATCATTACCTGTTGAGGGGTGGAGGAGAGAGAGAAAGACCATGTTTGGATGTTTTCTGTTAATGAATGACATTAGCATTGGCAAAAAAATTCTTCCAATGTACTCTGCGAAATGTTAAAACCAATATACTTCTCAGAGATATTTAGAATAAGTGATTGGTGTATGAGATTATGAAAGAGAGATGTATTGACTGTTAGGAAATTTAATTTTTATGAAATCAGCATTATAGAGAAATACTGTAATCTGATTCATTTCTGCAGAATTCCCAGTAGGAAGAGGCCCAGCCTCGGGAGTTGAAATGTTTCATTATGTGTACATGTGTGGGAAAAAGCCGAAATGTGGTTTCCGTGTGCTGATTTTCTGTAAAGCGTCTATTAGTGTGAGAGTGGCCGGCTAAGGCAGCAGAGCCCCCAAACCACGGCTGTCTAGGGGAAAGTGAACCCAGAAGGATATGTCTGATGGATACTGACATCATGAGCAATAAGTTTGAAAGTAGCAAGGAAAAGCTATGACAGTAAAATAATGTTGAAATAGTAGCTAAGGAATTGTCATATGCTGAAGATGAGGTCAGCCTTTTATCCCCCATCAATCCCTGATCAACTTTGCTTTTAGAAATGTAAGGTTCCCCCAAAATGAGGAAACTGCAAACCTAAGCTTTTCATACCAGCGCTAACTTAACCAAGTTGTCCATCTTATAATGTGAACTATAATTAGAGCAGGGCTATTTATGTAACATGAGCTGCACCGTTCCTGAGGCAAGAATAAGAGGAATGTTTGCCCCTGGGCTCTAGAGCAACAGGGCTGCAGAGTGGCACTGGCAGTCTCACGCCCTGGGGATGCTGGGGGTGGAAGGAAGAGGTGCCTCCAGCAGCTTGTACTGAAGAAGGTATGCATAGTGCCCCAAACCCTGCCAAACCCACACTCTCATGAGACACAAGTGTCTTTTCCCTTCCCAATTCCACAGCTGTTTGTCACTTTTCAGTGACCTCCTTCCCTAACCAAGACCGTTGTTGAAGTTCACTTGAATTGGATGTCAACCTAACTCAGTGATAGCAGGTGTGTGTGTAGGGAGGAAGGGAAGGGTGCAGAGAGTGATGTATTTGTGTCTCCCAGACCCTTAGGCCTGACACTGAATTCCAGCCTTTGTGGAGATGTCCTTGGAAATGAATGAAAGGCAAAGACTTCTTGCTGCTGTTAATATTTAATACTAAAGTGTTCTTTCCTTTCTCTGTTGATATTTTGGAAAATCTGGACTCTTCTTAACTGTTTTAGAAAAAACAACCTTCAGATACTTTCAGAGTAGGTAAGAGTTTCTGCTTGCAGCTCATAT